TCCAAAATTGTCCCAGCTCCAGCTCGGACCCACATTCGGTGCCATAACCCTTTTCCCACTTTTCCAGCATTAATGGGATCACCGGGCTGGGATGGCCTGGTCCACAGGGCCAGGATTATCCCACAAACGCCCAAAAGCAGATCCCAGGACTATCCCAAACCCCGGGGTGCAGATCCCAAAATTATCCCAAACCCCCAAAAGCAGGTCCCAGGATTATCCCACAAAACCCTGGACGCAGATACCAGGATTATCACAAACCACTGGACACAGATCCCAGAACTATCCTACAAATCCCTGGATGCAGATCCCGGGATTATCCCAAACCCCCGCATACAAATCCCAGGATTGTCCCAAACCCCCGGATACAGATCGCAGGATTATCCCACAAACCCCTGGATACAGATCGCAGGATTATCCCACAAATCCCTGGATGCAGATCCCAGGATTATCCCCCAAATCCCCAAAAGCAGATCCTGGGATTGTCCCAAACCCCGGGGTGCAGATCCCAAGATTATCCCAAACCCCCAAAAGCAGGTCCCAGGATTATCCCACAAAACCCTGGATGCAGATACCAGGATTATCCCAAACCCTGGATGAATCCCAGAATAATCCCACAACCCCCTGGATGCAGATCCCAGGATTATCCCAAACCCCCGGATACAAATCCCAGGATTATCCCAAACCCCCAGATACAGATCACAGGATTATCCCACAAATCCCTGGATGCAGATCCCAGGATTATCCCAAAACCCCAAAAGCAGATCCCAGGATTATCCCAAACCCCCAAAAGCTGATCCTGGGATTATCCCAAACCCTTGGGTGCACATCTCAGGATTATCCCAAACCCCTGGATGCAGGAAAACTCCCCCTCAAAGCTCAGGACACCCCGATCTCCACCTGGAATCCTTTTTTTTCCCATGAAATTTGCCTTCCCAACTCCCAAATCCCAAACCTCAGGGGTTGCTGCCCTCCAGCCCAGCCGGGAAAAGGGAGTGATGTTGAGGAATTCTGGAATCACAGAATCCCAGACTGATTTGGGGTGGAAGAGC